ATTTATCTTTTCCTTTAAGAATGTGGATGCTATGCCAGTTAGTGCATATATGTTTAGTATTGATATTACTTCGTTGTCTATAGTACCTTTTGGCTTACTTGCTTATCTCTTTTAATTCAGTCTGTTTTTGCTTTTGCATTGTCTGAGATCCTGACTGCTATCTCACCTTTTTTTTTTAACCTCAGCTGAAGCATAATAGATTCTGCTCTAGCCCCTTATTTTTACTCTGTTTGTCTCTCTGTTTCAAGTGTTGTGCTTATAAACAATATATTGTTGGATTCTGGTTTTTAATCCATTCTGCTATCTGCTTCTCTTTTATGGGGAGTTCATCCCATTCACATTCATTGTTATGATTACTGTGTATTATCCTCCATGCTATTTTTTTTCTGTTTGTCCTTCTCCCTCTCTCCTTGTCCACCTCAAGACTCTTTTTTGCTTCTGACCACTCTCTCTCAATCCACCCTCCTTTCTACCAACCCTGCCCTTTCTGTTATTCCCTTCCTATCCTACTTCCCAGTAGGGTAATATAGATTTCTATACCCAATGGCTGTGTATAAGTATTCTCACTTTGAGTCCATTCCAAAGAGAGTAAGGTACAAGCATTGTCTGCTACCCCCCAACCCCCTATCTTGCCCTCCACTGTAAAAGCTCTTCCTTTTGCATCCCTTCTATGTGAGATAATTTTCCTCATTCTTCCTCTCCTTTCCCTCTTCTCCCAATGCATCTCTCTGTCTTATCCTTTAATTTTATTTTTTGGGAATCATCCCATCATAATCAGCTCATACCTGTGCCCTCTGTCTGTGTATCTTCTTTCTTACTGTGCTAATAATGGTGAAGTTCTTAGGAATTACAATCATCGTCTTCCCATAATAGGGATATAAACCACTGAAACTTATTGAATCCCTCATGATTTCTCATTCATGTTTACCTTTTTATCCTTCTCTTGAGTCTTGTATTTGAGTGTCAGATTTTTCTGTTCACTTCTAGATTTTTTTTTAATAAGGAATACTTGAAAGTACTCTATTTCATTAAATATCAGTTTTTTTCCCCTGAAGGATTTCAGTTTTGCTGAGTATAGTATTCTTGGTTGTAATCCTAACTTTTTTGCCTTCTGGAATATCATATTCCAAGTCTTCTGCTTCGTTAGTGTGGAAGCTACTAAATTTTGTTTGATCCTGAATGTGGCTCCATAATATTTGAATTGTTTCTTTCTGTCTGCTTGCAATTTTTCTTCTTGATCTGGGGTTTCTAGAATTTGCCTATAATATTCCTTGGAATTTTTATTTTGGAATCTCTTTCAGGAGGTTATCAGTGGATTCTTTCAATTTCTATTTTAGCCTCTGGTTCTAGAATATCAGAACAGTTTTCCTTGATAACATCTTGAAATATGATGTCTAAGGTGTTGGTTTTTTTTTTTTTACTCATGTCTCTCAGATAGTCCAATAATTCTTAAATGATCTCTCTTGGATTTATTTTCTAGGTCACTTGTTTTTCCAATGAGATATTTTACATTTTCTTCTATTTTTTCCTTCTTTTGATTTTGTTTCTTGATGCCTCATGGAGTCATTAGCTTCCACTTACTCAATTCTAATTTTTAAGGAATTTTTTTTTCTTCAGTCATCTTTTGTATCCTTTTTCCATTTGGCCATTTCTGCTTTTTAAGCAGTTCTTCTCTTTAGTAGATTTTTGTGCCTCTTTTCCATTTGGCCAATTTTGTTTTAAGGTGCTATTTTCTTCAGTATTTTTTTTTGTTCCTTTTATACTAAGTTGTTGACTCTCTTTTCATAATTTTCTTGCTTCACTCTCATTTCTTTTTTCCAGTTCTTCCTCTGTCTCTCTTATTTGAGTTTTGAAATCCCTTTTGAACTCTTTCAGGAGTTCTTGTTGGGCTCGTATCCTGTTCGCATTTTTCTTTGAGAATTTTCTTGTGTTTTTTGAACATCTTGTTTTATTTGAGATCATTGTTTTCTGAGTTTTTGTCTTGATTTTCCCTGTCATCATAGTAATTCTTTATGGTCAGATTATTTTTTGTTGTTGTTGTTATTGTTGTTTGCTTATTTTTCCAACCTCTTTCTTGATTTTTAACTTCATTTTAAAGTTGTACTCTGCTCTCAGGGTGAAAGGGGCATTGTCCGAAGCTTCAGGTTTTTTGTGTTGCTGTTTTCTGGAAGTCCACAGATTTTCATTGCTTTCAAGGTGGTATGATCTAAGAAGAGGTGTGGTCACTGCTTTCTTGGTTTGTGCTCTGGTCTTTACCCAGGAAGTGACCTTGCTCCCCTATAGCCACAAGTGCCGGCACTCTTTTCTTCCCCAGAACTGCTCCTTTGTAAGCAACCACAAGCATTCTTATCTGCCCTCAAAATGTAATCAAGGCCTCTGTTCCCCTGTGGCCACAAGTGCTAGTATTCCTATTTATCCTGGGACTGCCATTTGGAACTGTGTATGGGTAATGCAACAGGGGCCTGAACTCAGCATCAGCAAAGGTCCCCCGGTTATCACTTTTGGACAGCTGGTCCAATTGCCTTGCCATCTGTGGGCTGAGAGTTTGTGAAACTGTTGCTGGCTGCACTCCAGACCAACCACTATCTGACAAGACAGACCTTTCTTGCTGACCCATTCCACCTGACCTTTTGTTGATTCTGCTGCTCCAGAATTCAATTTGATGCATTATTATAAAGTTATTTGGAGGGAAATTTGGGGGAATTCGGGTGACTTCCTACTCCTGTTCTGCCATCCTGCATGATTAATTTTGGAAATGAAAGTATATTCACCTGTAAAAAACAGTAACAAAAGCAAAAAAAAAAACTTAACACATCATCTTGTTTCATTCTAGAAACTGTGGGAACAGTTTTAGTCTGTCCCAAACTATCAGTTTTCATCTTAGGGAATAAAATTTTCCAGTATGCTTTCCACACGTGCAGAGTGTTTTTTAAGCATTTAATTTTTGTAGTGGGACCTTTTCACTTGCAGCTGTGTGGAAATACCTGCATCTGCAGACTCCCCAGGAGATTTTTATATTCATAGCAGTTACATAAATGGTTATTTTGTCAATTAAATGCTAGTATGGCTTTTATTCAGAAGAGTTTGATTTTAGTGATATACTCTGCTGAAAGACTTCCTGAAGCTAATGCTTAGAGCATCCATAGCTCTTCCATAATACCTACCACAGTGCCTGGCACATAATATTTGCTTAATAAATGTTGGTTGATTGATTGATTGTGCAGATGATGTTAGGCTAATTAATGTTGAGGTTAAGAATGAATGTTTGAGCCTTAGTGTCAGAAAATTCTTTTAAATGTTCAGCCAGTATGGTGTGAGCTGAACCATTTTTGTATCTCAGAGAAGTACCCTGAATTGTTGTGCTGAATTACTTATATGTGAATATCACATTGTAGATTAATTTCCTTAAAGTAGAAATATGGAGGGAGAATCAGTAGTTACATCTCATTCTTTCAGTCTAGTTCTTAAGAGACATCACAGCCAAGTAAGTAGAAAAACCACTGAATTTGGAATCAGCAAACCTGGGTTTGAGCCTAGTATCAACATTAGCTATGTCATCATGGGCAAGTCATTTGACAGTTTTTCAATCTATAAAATAATAATACCTCACAGTGTTGTTGCAAGGTGTTGTAAACTGTATTGTGACTATGTTGCTATTATTATTATTGAGATTGCTTTGAATGCTCACTAGAATCTTGTGATGTATGTGATTCAGCTAAAGACTTCATATTATTAGGATATACTGCTAAGTGGTTCTGGTTTTTTACCTTCAGTAATATATTATTGTGAAGTGCTGAATTTATTTTGGGATGCATAGTAATAAGAAATAATTTATTATTAATTGAAAAAGCTGGCAGTGTGATTGATAAGCAGTTGTCTTAGAAAATCTTGAAAAATCTTGTAGAAGAGAGGTGTTGCCTATCAGATTGGCCAACGTGACAGAACAGGAAAATGATAAATGTTGGAGAAGTTGTGGGAAAATTGGAACACTAATCCATTGTTGGTGGAGTTGTGAAATGATCCAACCATTTTGGAGAACAATTTGGAACTATGCCCAAAGGGCTACAAAAATGTGCATACCCTTTGACCCAGCAATAGCACTTCTAGGGCTATAGAACATATATATATATATTCCCAAAGAGATCAAACAAATGGGAAAAGGACCCACATGTACAAAAATATTCATAGCAGCTCTTTTTGTGGTGGCAAAGAATTGGAAATTGAGAGGATGCCCGTCAATTGGGCAATGGCTAAGCAAGCAAGTTGTGGTATATGAATGTAATGGAATACTATTGTGCTATAAGAAATGATGAACAGGCTGACTTCAGAAAAACCTGGGAAGACTTATATGGTCTGATGCTGAGTGAAGTGAGCAGAACCAAGAGGACTTTGTACACAATAACAGCCACGTTATGCGATGACTAATATTGTTAAACTGAACCCTTCTCAGCATTATGAGGATCTAAGACATCTCCAGAGGCCTCAGGATGGAAAATGCTGTCCACATCCAAAGAAAGAACTATGGAAGTTGAATCGCTATCACTTATTTTTACCTTCTGTTGAGTTTTGTTTCATCTTTCTGATGGTTCCTCCTGTTGGTTTTAATTTTTACTTACAACTTCACTAATGTGAAAATATGTTTAATGGGAATATAAATGTAAAGCCTATATCAGATTGGGTGCTGTCTTGGGGAGGGTGGGGGGGGAGGAAGGGGGAGAAAAATTTTCAGCTCAAAAGCATATGGAAGTGATCGTTGATAAATCAAAATAAATAAATTTAAAAAAAAAAAAGAAGAAGAGAGGTGTTGTAGAATCAGAGAGAGGCCAACATGGCTCCTGTTTTCATAAAAGGGAAGAAGAGAGATTCTTGAAACTTCAGTCCTGTGAGTCTGACTGATTCCTGGAATAGTTTGTGAGCATTTTGAAAAGGAAGCAGATGATCACTAAAAGCCACAGTGGTTTCAACAAGAAAAAGTTACACCTATTCTTTCCTTCTTGCAGGCTAACTATACTGGTAGCTTGCAGGAATTCTATAGCCATAAGTATACCTGGAATTCAGCAAGGTGTTTGATGGAGCCTTTTATAATATCCTTGTGGATTCTATTAAAGGTATGGACTAGATGATAGTATGGTTAGGTCTGTGTTTTCGTGGGTGAATGGCTAGACAAAGAGTAGTGATGAAAAGATTAGTACCAACCTAGAACAGGGGTTATTTAACCTGGAGTCTATGTGCCACTTGAAAGTCTGTGGATAGATTTCAGTAGGTCTTTGAATTTGGATAGGAAAAAAAATCACTTCTTTATTTTCATTAACCACAAGTTTCCTTTGTAATTTCATATATTTTATGTACTTAAACACATTATGCTGAGAAGGGGTCCTTGAGCTTCACCAGACTGCTGAAGGGGCAATGACATAAAAAAAGATTAAGAACTTTACATGCAGAAGGATATTTCTGGTGGAGGGCCCCAGGACTCTGTCCTTCACCCTGTTCTTTTCACTTTTTTTTTAATCAATGATTTGGACAAAAGCATTAACGGTATGTTAGTTAAACTGGCAGGTGACATGAAGCTTAGAGGGAGGGATAAGCTAAAATGTTGATCTGGGCAATTTATATTTTTGTAAATATGTATCCATTTCACTAAGATTGTCAAATTTGTTGGCATATAGTTGGACAAAATAATTCCTAATTATTGTTTTAATTTCCTCTTCCTTGGTGGTAGCTTTGCCCTTTTCATTCTTGATACTAGTAATTTGGTTTTCTTCTTTCTTTTTTTTAATTAAATTGACCAAAGCCCTATCTATTTTATTGGTTTTTTCATAAAACCAGCTCTTAGTTTTATTTATTAGTTCAATAGTTTTCTTAATTTCAATTTTATTAATTTTTCCTTTGGTTTTCAATATTTCTAATTTGGTGTTGAGGATTTTTAATTTGTTCTTTTTCTAGTTTTTTTAGTTGTATGCCCAATTCATTAATCTCCTCTCTTTCTATTTTGTTTATGTAAGCATTTAGAGATATACAACTTCCCCTAAGAACTGCTTTCGCTGCATCCCATAGGTTTTGGTATGTTGTCTCATTATTGTCATTCTCTTGAATGAAATTATTGATTGTTTCTATGATTTGTTGTTTGACCCAATCATTTTTTAGGATTAGATTATTTAGTTTCCAATTATTTTTTAGTCTATCTTTCCATGGCCCTTTATTACATATAATTTTTATTGCATCATGATCTGAAAAGGATGCATTTAATATTTCTGCCTTTCTGCATTGGATTGTGAGGTTTTTATGCCCTAGTACATGGTCAATTTTTGTGTATGTGCCATGTACTGCGAGAAAAAAGTATATTCCTTTCTATCCCCATTCAGTTTTCTCCAGAGGTCTATCATACCTAACTTTTCTAATGTTCTATTCACCTCCTTAACTTCTTTCTTGTTTATTTTGTGGTTAGACTTATCTAGTGCCAAGAGGGGAGGTTCAGGTCCCCCACTAGTATAGTTTTGCTGTCTATTTCTTCCTGTAACTCCCTGAACTTCTCCTGTAAGAATTTGGATGCTATACCATTTGGTGCATATATATTTAGTAATGATATTACTTCATTGTCTATGGTGCCTTTTAGCAGGATGTAGTTTCCTTCCTTATCTCTTTTGATTAGATCTATTTTTGCTTTTGCTTTGTCTGAGATCAGGATTGCTACCCCTGCTTTTTTACTTCAGCTGATGCATAATATATTCTGCTCCAGCCTTTTACCTTTACCCTGTATGTGTCACTCTTTTTCAAATGTGTTTCCTGTAAACAACATATTGTAGGATTATGGTTTTTAATCCATTCTGCAATCCATTTCCGTTTTATGGGAGAGTTCATCCCATTCACATTCACAGTTATGATTACTATCTGTGTCTTTTTCTCCATCCTTTTCCCCCTATTTATGCTTTTCTTTCTCCTTTTTCCTTTCTCCCCTTCACTAGTGTTTTGCTTTTGACCACCGCCTCCTTCAGTCCCTTCCCCCTTTTATTATCCCTTTCCCTTTTCTTCCCCTTTAGTCTTACTGCTTCTTCCCTCCCTTCTTTCCCCTCCCTTTTCTTTCCCCTTTTCCCTCCTACTGCCTATAGGGCAAGTTAGATTTCTATACCTAACTGATTATATTATGCCCTTCTTGAGCCAAATCTGATGAGAGTAAGGTTCAAACAATGCTCCCCCCTTCTTTCCCTCTGCTGTAATAGGATTTTGTGTCTTTTCCTGTAATGTAATTTACCCTTGTTTGCTTCCTCCTTTCTCAGTACTTTTCTAAGATCAGATTGATGCACTTATTTGGATCCATTTAACCCACTTGATTAGATTTTTTTTATCATTACATCAAAGTCAACTAATATCCACCCTCTTTATGTATACTCCTTTAACAAGGTGTAATAACAATACAGTTCTCAAGGGTTGCAAGTCTCATATTCCCTTGTAGGGGTTTAAACAGCCCCCCCCTTATTAACAACATATTGTATCCTTCTGTCCCATTTACCTTTTTAAGTCCTTCTTGAGTCCTGTACTTGAAGATCAAATTTTTTGTTGAGCTCTGGTCTTTTTATCAGGAAAGTTTGGAAGTCTCCTATTTCGTTGAATATCCACCTCCTCCCTTGAAAAATGATGCTCATTTTTGCTGGGTAATTGATCCTTGGCTGCATTCCAAGCTCCTTTGCCTTATGGAATATCATGTTCCATGCCCTGCGGTCTTTTAATGTAGAAGCTGCAAGGTCCTGTGTAATCCTGACTGTGGTTCCATGATATTTAAATTCTTTCTTTCTGGCTGCTTGCAGCACCTTCTCTTTCATCTGGTAATTTTGGAATTTTGCTATTATATTCTTGGCGTTGTCAATTTGGGATCTCTTTCAGGTGGTGATCGGTGGATTCTTTCTATGGTTATTTTCCCTTCTGGTTCTAGGACTTCTGGGCAGTTTTCCTTTATGATTTCCTGAAAGATACTGTCCAGGCTCTTTTTTTCATCATGATTTTCAGGTAGTCCAATAATTTTTAAATTGTCTCTCCTGAGTCGATTTTCCAGGTCGGTTGTTTTACTGATGAGGTATTTTACATTTTCATCATTTTTTTCATTTTTTTGTTTCTGTTTGACTGATTCTTGCTCTCTCATAGAGACATTAGTTTCCATTTGTCCAATTCTAGTTTTTAACAGATTGTTTTCTTCTGTTAGTTTTTGTACTTCCTTCTTCAACTGGCCAATTGTGTTTTTTAGGGACTTTTTCTTCAGTACTCTTCTGTTAGTTTTTGTCCTTCCTTCTTCAATTGGCCAATTGTGTTTTTTAGGGACTTGTTTTCTTCAGTGTATTTTTTTTCCAATTGGCCAATTGTATTTTTGAAGGACTCTTTACCTCTCTCATTTGACTATTAAAATCCTTCTTGAGCTCTTCTAAGAAGGCTTTTTGGGCTTCAGACCAGTTCATATTCCCTGTTGTTGTTGCAGATGTGGGTTTGTTGACAATGTTGTCCTCTTCAGAATTTCTGTCTTGATCTTCACTCTTCTCATAATATGAATCTATGGTATGTTTCTTTTTACTCATGGTGTTTCTTTATTCCCTGGCCTTTAAAGAGATTGAGCTCTCCTGCTGGGGAACAGAGGGTACTGACCCAAGCTTCTTGTGTTGGGAGCCTAGGTCTTGGTCACTGGCTTTGTGCTGGGGCCTCTTATGCTGGAATTGGAGGCTGTAGGTTTCTGGCAGCTTACCTTGTGTTGGGCTGGAATCAGCAAGGCTGGAACTTTCAGGCAATTCTAGGTTGCCTGCTTTTCCTTTCCTTTAGCTTTCTTCAGCTCCTTTTAGATGGTGCTGCAGGTGTTTATCTGCCTGGGGCCCCTGCAGTGTTGTCTCCCTTTTCTGCTAATGCCGGGAGATTCCTTTTGGTGGAGTGCCGAGGCTCCTGGTGGTTTTCTGAGCTGGTTTCCACCGGTTCCCCGCCCTCACTGAGGCACTCGGAGGTCCAGGTGTTGGTGTTTGCCTGCTCTACCACCTGGGCTTCAGGATTTCTTCACAATTGGAGGCTTCAGGGCTCCTACAGCTCACCTGGTGTTGGGTTGGAATCAGCAAGGCGGGGCTTTAGGAAGCCTTTAGGTTGTTTTCTTCACCTCCTTTCAGATGAATGCTGCAGGGTACTTATCCCCTGGGCCCCTTGTTTTTGCTGAGGCACTGGGAGACCCGTTTGCTGGGCTGCTGCACTGCTGCTCCTGTCTTTCTTCTAGTTCAGGTGTTCCAGGGTTTTTTTTTCTGGGGTGATATTTTCTGGGTTTTCAGAGGTCGATAGGGGAGAGTGAGAGCTACTACCTTTTCGCTCCGCCATCTTGGCTCCCGGAAGCGGAAGTCTCTAAGCCAAAATGTTGAAAGACAGCAAGTATTTAAAAATGTCAACAGGCTAGAAATTTTGACTTGAATAAAGATAAATGTAAAGACACACTTTTGTTTTTTTAAGAAATAAGTTGTCCATATACAAGATGGGGCACTATGGCTAGATGATAATTTGTATGAAACATACATATGGGTATTAGTGGATTGCAAGCTTAGTATGAGTCAGTAACTTAACACGGCGGGGTCCCACCCCAAAGGTCGGTGTAATCTTAGGCCTTAATTGAAGATAGGTTTCAGAACTAGGGAGGTAATAGCCCTGAGGTACTTTGCCATGGTCAAATCATATTTGGAGTATTTTGTTCATTTATGAGAGCATATACTTTGGGAAGATTATTGCTAAATTGAAATGTGTCAAGAGAATAGTGATCAGTATGGTGAAAGGGCTAGGCCCCACATGATAGGCCATATGAAGGAATTAGAAGTTAGAAGACTTGCATACATGAAGACATACATGAATTAGGACTTCTCTAGAAATACTGCTCTTTAAATCTCACTGTGTGGGGCCTGTGGAAGAGGGTGATTAGGTTAATTTGAGTTGATCCCAGAGGGTAGAAATAGGAGTAGTAGGTGGAAATTGCAAGGAGACAGATTTTAGATTAATGTGAGGATACATTTGCTAAATAAAAGAGCTAACTCAAAATGGAAAGGCCTGTATTAGGATGTGGTGAATCCCCTGGAGTACTTTAGGCACATAGGGTGAATGAGCACTTATAAGCAATGTGTCAGGGGATTTGATATGGTTTGGACTGTGTTCTGAAAATTCTTCCAATTCCTAGATTCCAGGAAAATATATTTCCCTTAAGCTGTACTCTCTAGTGTTAGTTTGATAAAAGAAAGGTAAGGCAGACTAATCTAATGGTTGTAACCTGGTTTCAGTAAAAGCTTGTTCTTTTACAATTCCAAAAGAAAGTTGGAGTTGAATTAATAGAGGTAGTTTTCAGAACATATTTAGGGTTCTTTTTCAGGGCATATATAGTTTGGTGAAAGATGAACCCTAACTTTCCATTAACCAGTATAATATTTAACCTGTTTTACTTACTACCATTCATGGAAATGAGTGAAATCTTATTTGGTGTGTTTGTAGATTTTAAGGTTATTATAGTTAACAAAGTGGTACTTTTCTTTTGGTAATGCTTCTAACAAGCAAAAAATTGTTTGAGAAAGATGGTGATTTAGAATTTTAATACTTTTAACATCTTAGAATGATGGCACCAGTTTTTGCTGCTTTGTATTTATTATAAGCCCTAATTACTTAGCTTCTTGTGAAAAACATGTAAGAAACTGTCTGCTAGTAAACTCATGCCTCATTGTTTTTGCTGAGTAAGAAATGCTCTCAAATCATGTGGCAATCAAAACCTGAGTAGATTGGTCCAATTTAAGACATTAGCCTGCGTTGGTTAACAAGTCTGTTGTGTGCTTTAATTATGAGCCTTTGAAAAACTATACTGTGTACTGTATAACCATATTGAAAATGGTATAGCAATATTTTGTTGTAGCTATTTATGCCATAAACTGTCAAAAGTTTTACAATTTCTGGGGAATTAGGATAATTTCAGGTTAAATGTAAGTATATATTTTTAAATCATTGCCCATTTAGTTAGCTTAAATCCTTCTCACCACATGGAATAAGCTCTAAGAAATCCACTGTTAAAATGGAATGAAAATTACATTCAGCAGAATTACATCAATTTACTTTTCATTTACTCATAATAATTCTTGTCATGTTTTGCTGCTGACTGAAGCTATTTATTTTTCATCAGGAGTGTTCTCTTTCTTAGCCCCATTTCTCTCTTCTTACCTATTCCTTCAGGGGATTTAAGATGCCAAATTAATGATATCACATTCATTTCCATGGCTACAGATCACAATTTTGCAAACATGGGATTAGAGTTTCACTTCAGGACAAGCTGGGCTATGAGAAGGGAATGCTATTTATTTTAAAGCAAATACCTGAGCAGCAAAAGGGAGAAGAGAAAATAGGGGTAAAGCATATTGTTTCATGTCTAAATAACCTTTCTTTTCAGTGATTTCTTTGGGAAAAATCTATCTTTAAAGATCAATTAATTAATTAAGATAATTAAACAAAACCTCTAAATGTGATGTTTCAAAATTGGCTTAGAAATCACAGGGTAACAATTAGAAAATTTTGTTCACACCAAAAAAAAAAAAACCACCAAAAAAAAAATTGTTCATCAGATTTTCTGAACCTGCTAGATCCTAGGCTGGAGTTTAATGATGAATGTAGCAGTAATAGAAGCCTTATACTTTTAACTGTTTATTTGTGTAGGGAAAAAAATGTAAGTTCCCTTGGGTGCCTGTGTTTTTCAATAAGCTTAAGAGTTTCAGTAATTAGCTGATTTTAATGATAAGAACAAAATGCTTGATCCTTAGTGATGATGTTTTTGGTACCTTTTAAGTCAATGGACTGTGGATGATGAATTCATACATTTTTAGAGAATTTTTATTTTCCCACCTGTGATTCAGTTAATTTGTATTCAATAAGTACTTACTCTGCACGGCAGCTAGATGGTGCAGTGGATAGAATGCTGTGTCTGAAGTTAGAAAAATTGGTCTTCATGAGTTCAGATCTGGCCTCAGACACTTACTAGTTATGTGACTCTGGGCAAGTCACTTAATTGTTTGCCTCAGTTTCCTCACCTGTAAAGTGAGCTAGAGTAGGCAAATCACTCCAATATCTTTGCCAAGAAAACCCCAAATGGGGCCATGCAGAGTTGGACACAGCTGAAAAGCTACTGACCAACAGCTACTCGCTCTGTACTGTCCATGGAGTTCTCAGATGTCAACCAGCAGATGCTCTGTTTTGTTTACAGTCGTAGCCATGAAGCCCATTTAAGTTTCAATAACATGAAATCAGGAATACTTGAAGTATATGAAATTTATTTATTCCTTAGCACTTCATGGATCTGTATGAGTACCATCAGTGCAGATTACAAACCTGCTGTATACACCTTAGCAGAAAATTTCCTTGGCAGGAAAAATTCATCCTTACATGAAAAGTCTCTGTAAATGGAACTAGGCTTTGTTGTCCTTGAGCAACACACAAAAATCAGTCCGTTGCTGGGCCCTTGTTTGAAGCCTTTCCAGCTTGGGTAGGACCCCAGGGTTTTTGCTTTGTTAGTGTAGCCTTTGAGAAGCCAGTCACCATCACACCATGAGGCATTTAAATAGAACTTGAAGACAGGGCTTAACCTGTGGAATTGGTTTTACTTCAGAACAGCATATTATCACTGTTATGATGTGTATGTAAATTTTTTTTAAGTATTTTTATTTTTACCATTTTATTTTTATTTTCCTAGGGTTTGAAAAGATTAATGACCATTTGTCAGAAGCATTTCTCAACAGACCCATCAAAATGTGTGGAGTACAATGCACTATGATAACTCTTCTCTATGGAGCTATCGAACAATAAGAAACTTAAGACCTGTGGCATTTTGGGGAGCTGCTACCAGGAATGAAGGAGAGTGAAAGAATCAAGTTTTGGGAGTAGCCGTTTTCTACCAGATTAATTTCTTTGTTTATTTAGAGAACTCTTTTTGGTTCTTGCATCAAATATGACAGCAGACTGTTGATTGTTGAATCATGTTTTGATTTTCAACAGTCTGAGTCAAGCACCAAGGCTTATCTCCTATACTTTATGGACATAGTGATCTTCGAGGGATTCCTATTGGACATTTTCCTGTCAGATGTGGAAGTTGTTGGTAAATGATTAGAGGAAAACATTTGAGGTTGACTTGTAATTATTTCTGTAAAATATTATAATATTCTTGTTATAATTATATTGATTTTATAGAGATAAGCTTTTCTTCAACAACTACCAAAACAATACAGTATCCCTTGGTTACATTTGAATTTCTGTAATGTGTCTGATTTTTTTTTTTCTGGCTTCCATTAGAGGTTTGATTATTAATTTTGTGACTTATGTGTTTTTCGTTGGTTTCTGATCTTGTTTTTCAGATTTTTCTTGGGCTAATAGAGAAGCTGAAATAATCAGGAAATGGATATTTTAAAAATTAAGGTGTATTTTACTATGCAAATTTCTAAAGAAATTTATTAATCTCTACATATAAGATTATGAATTAAAAGTTCCCTACGGGAAATGGACTATCACAGCCAAAAGAGTGATGAGGTTCAAAAACTCTTGGTTTTCCTGGGGCATGATTGTCTAGGATTTTGCCACACACTGTGAATTAGTCACATACTTGTGACTTTCTGCCATGTTCTACCAAGTAGCAGAGGGTGAAGCACATGATGCTTTTGTTACCATGAGTGCTCACTTGATGACAGTATTTCTTAGTTCTAAATTATCAGATAAATAAGTACTTGCTCTTATTTCTCCCTGCACGCAGGTTACTTCCCCAAGCTGCAGTGCTGTCCGGTCATTGTACTGAATGTAGAAGAAAGAGAAGATTGGTTACTTTAGTGGATTATGTAAATAGGATGTCATTAATTAACTAGGTGAGGATTGTCAAGGCATTTTTATAAGCCACTGCTGGCTCTTTAGTGGTTGTAGTATGAAGGGCCACAGACACTTGGTCATAACTGGCTCCACATTCATTTAACTTAGAAGAGAGGAGAAAAGAGGTTTTAGTGGGAATTAGAGAAGCCTAAATGCTTGAATGCAGGCACACACATTTATATGGATTAACTCTGGCCAAGAGTTCTTAACCTCCTTTGTGTCATGGACTCCTTTGGAAATCTGGGGCAGAGGTGGGGGGAGTAGGGAATAGGACACACAAACCCTCTCAAAAGATTGTTATTAAATGCATGAAATAAAATAAGATTACAAAGAAAACCAATTATATTGAAATAGAGTTACAAAAATATATTTTAAAAAAGGGGACTCATTCTAAACTCTTGTTAAGGACTTTTGTTCTAAACACTTGAAGAGAATTGGCAATAACTGTAATATGTAAATCAGTGAACGCTTAAGTACCTTTATACAGGTAAAGAAATTATGTATCATACCAGGGAAGATAGGTTTAGAAAAGACACATCCCTACCCTGTGTGTAGTCTCTTAGTGGGGACCTATGATACAAAATATGACATAGGGGCATTCGAAGAGCAAAACAAAGTAATGAGTGGGTTTGCCCAAAAAAGGTTGGTTTCTATAGAAGGAATAAAGTGAGATTTCTTGAAGAATATGTCATTTGACTTGATCTTTCAAGGATAGATAGGAATTCAGCGGGTAAAGGAGAAGAGGGAGAACATTCTAGATAGGGATTCAGATGTGCCAATACATAGGGACAGAAAAAAGTATTGGACATAATTGGCAGGCATGTACTTTTCCCCTTTTTTAGAGAGAAATATGCTAGTTGTCTCTTTTTATTCCAATTAGGAAAACAGTTCTGTTGTTTTAAAAGTAATCTGTAGGACTTCCTAAGAGTATCCCTGCCAGGCTCAGTGATGGAACAGGGTTCTTCTGTATTGGAACCGAAATGAAAACACTAAACAGGAGGCAGTCTAGAAGTAATGTTAATGATCTCAGTCTTTGGGGAAAAATTAAGAAAACAAGTCTAAGCCAGGAAAAAAAAAGTTGAATATTGGTGACAAAGGACAGTCCAGATCTTTCAGGAAGGCAGAAGAGAGTCTTGAGAAAACAAACTGAGGAAGGCAGCTGTGATTAATAATAAATCTTGATGATTTGCTGTGCACTGTGAACTCCTAGAAAGATTTGGTGGAAGAGGAAATGTAATTTATAGCAGCACAACTTATTTTTATTTGTAAGCCTTTCCTTTCTAGCAGCTTCCTGATCTACTCTAGCTCTTTAGGTTGACCTTGGTTTTGAACTGAAAAAATGATTAAAGAATACTGCTATTTCTTGTAGAACAAAGTGATAATTTATACTGAAAGTAAACATCTTGGGAATGATTAGAATAGTTCTTCAGTGACTTTCATGAGTAGATTTGAGTTCTTGAATTCTTATCACCATAATTTTACTCCTACACAAGCTCTTTGGTGATAGTAAAGGAAGTAAAGCTGTTTATGTAAAAGTAGCCTATTAATGGGGGTGCTATGATCTCTTGGGTAATCTTTAAGTAAATACATAGTGGCCTGCACCTCTCCACTGATCAGCCCTTTCCTTCTCACTGTCTGCCCCACCCCCTAACATATTTGTCCAAGTTGAGCGAATCCCATGACAGAATAACTTTATCCCATAGAAATTTGTGAAATGGCACCATATTGGGAGTCTTGAAACCGAAAAATACTTTCTCACGGCATATTTCTGTAAGAATTTCCAGCTGTCCAGAGTGTGAGAGCCAGCACTAGTCCCTTGAGGGTCGCTATGGGAATACTGTTATGGCAACTGTTTTTCATCATAGACTCTGTTGCAAGATTTGCTAGATTACAACCATAAGTTAGCATTTTAATGGTTAATAGTGGCTTCAAAATCTTTTTCTGGAAAGTAAAATAAATTCTGGTGGTGTGGGGTGATGAAAGTGAACACAAACATGGCTAAGTAACAGCAACAGCCAGAGGATGAGCCAAGCCCATTCTGCATTTTATTATTTGTTTTGTTTTTGAAGTTTCACTAAAATATCAGATTGTTGAAGGGCTGCCTGTTTATTTTGGTTTGTTTTCTTATCACAAACTTTGTGACACTTTATAGGATGTGCTTAAACTAATCATTTTGTTGCTCCTAACGTTTGCTTAATTCAACTGTGCCCTTTCTTTTTGTTTAGCCTCTTCTCTCTGTCCTTGGGCACCAGCTTTGCAACAACTGTCAGCCTTTTCTTAGCTTACTCTCCTCCAAGTATCCATGCTTTAGTGAGCACATACACTTAGCCATATGTGGCGACAGAGAAGGTTTCCTTTTCTTGAATGTAGTTGCTAATCTAAAATTCATTCAGTGTACTTCCTGCAGAGAAGCTAAAATTAGCTGCACATGGCTGGGTCTCCTGACTCTTGCTCTTTGTGGTCCCCAGCCTGTTAACTTGCCAAGAGTAGGCCTCACAAGGCTAAGGTCTTTCCAACTCTATTACGTGGTTCTATGGTCCGTTTAGGATTGTCTTGCGTCAGCAAAGATTTTTTTTTAAGATTTAAAGCAGAGGAGAGGGTGATGTGAATCAAGAATGTGTTTTTTTGATGCCCATTTTTATTTATTTTTGTAGGTTTCTGTACTTGCAGCTCAGGAAAACTAGCAGTAGGTGGTATTTATTATCTTTTCCTCTGCATTTGAACCAATAGACATTGAGATAAATGTAATGACTGTAGGCCCTAAGCCAAGTAAAGTAAGAAACTGATCTGTTAAATAACCTCTAGATAGATCTTCAATGTGTGTGTGTGTGTGTGTGTGTGTGTGTGTGTGTGTGTGTGTGTGTGTGTGAGAGAGAGAGAGAGAGAGAGAGAGAGAGAGAGAGAGAGAGAGAATGTGTGTGTAGGGGGAGGGGAGGTTATGCATGTGTAGACACACATTTATATACATGTCAGATTTTCTTTTGATTTCATCATTTTTGTCCCCAGTACCTCAAGGCTCATCCCTGGGCTCTCATCTCTCTTTACATCTTCTCTCCAGTGATCTCATCAGCTCCCATAGGTTTAATTAATATCTTCACACAGATGATTTCCAAAATTTATATATACAGCCCCAGTCTCTCTCCTGAGCTCCAGTCTCATATCATCAGCTGCCAATTTAGCTTCATAAAGGCTTATTTATTGATCAGTTGTCGGATCATTTACCCATAACACTTTCTCATGCTCTGTATCCAGTTATTTGCCAAGTCTGGTCAATTCTTATTCCTCCTTCCCCTCTCCCTACCCAATACCTTCACATCTTTTTTCACTCCCATGACCATCACCCTAGTTCAAACCTTCATAACCTCTCATCTGGACTATTGCAATAATTTGACTTCCTGCCTCAAATCTCCCCTCTCTCCTTTCCGTCCTCAACATTGTTCCAAAATAACTTAAGCAAATGCCACTCTCCTCTTCAAAAAGGCCCTCCCTCTTGCATTTAGTAATACACACTCCTGTCCTTTTTAACCCAGCTGCAGTCTACCTTTCCAGGCTTATTACACAACCCTGGATTCTACATTCAAACCTAACTATTTATACTTTGTTCTATGTATTACATGAGATTCCATCTCCTATCTTCCCTTTGCACAGACTGTTCCCATGCTTAGAATCCACCCCTTCTTCACCTGAGCCTCTTAGAAAGCAGTATTCCTTTAAAGCTTAGCCCAAGTGCCACCTTCTAAATGAGGCCTTTCCTGATCCCCCTACCATTACTATTGGCTATTTTGTATTATAAATTTTGTGTCTGCTTAGATATGTATCTGCCCTATAAATTGTAAGTTCCTAGAGATAAGGTATTTTTGTTATCTTCCTTCCAGAACCTAACAGACTGGCACATAGTAAGCATTTAATAAATGATTGGTGATTGTTTATTTTTTCTAATAGATTTCAGTTAAATAAAAATCAAGTGGTTTAGAACTTTTAAAATTCATTTTCCCCTGGGATCTTCTTTTTTTTTTTTTACTAGCATCATGATAATAATGTAGTTGAAGCACCCCAAGTTTGAGAGTGAGAGGAAGTAGTGCAAAAAAAAAGATGTATTTTAAATTTTCATTAAAATTCAGCTTTAATAAAATTCTTATCTTTGATACCTTTCAAATCTGTGTCTGTGTGGCAGAAAGAGAGTGGAGTTCTGGGCTTTCAATTTAGGGTAAAGGGATGAAAAAACATTTTTAGGTTGTAATTTGCATTGTTGGAGGAAATACTTCAATCTAATATTATGCATCTATTTAAATACTGAAGAATTGGTAAGGTATTGTGATGTCCTGGGTGTGCCGATGGGTTTTTCTTAAAATGCAGTAAATCTAGCTTTTCTCCACCTTCCTGTGAAAAACAGTGCATTGTGCTTACAACTGCAGAAAAACCACTAGCCAACATGGTTGCCAGGTCTTCTAGTACTGGGCAGGACAAGAGCAGGTAGGTACCTAAGGGAATTGTTTTTATAGCCTGAGGTTGAGATTTTTTATCACTTTATATTATTGGGGTCTGGGCAGGGGGGCAACTAACATTTGTTCTTCAGAATCAGAATTTTACTGCTGGGTGCCACCTTAGAGTTCACCTACTCAAATCTCAGTGTTGTACAGTATAGTATATTGAAGACTGCTTGATTTGAACTCAAAAAACCTGGGTTCACAGCTCTTTTTCCGCAACAATTATTAGCTCTGTGGCCTTGGGCAAACTCTGTAGCCCTCAATTTTCTCATATAAGAATAGGGAAAATATTGCGCACTACCTACCTTACAAGGTATTTATGAATAAAAGAACTTCATGAACCTTTGATTCAGTTAAAAAAATTTATTGAGTACCTACAATGTGCTAGGCAGTGTGTTAGGGGCTGATAACATAAAGGCAAAAGGAAAACCAACTCCTGTCTTTAAGGAGCTTATTTTCTACTAGAGGGAAACAACATACTTACAGATAACAGGATACTATGTGATTTGAAGAGGGAGAAAGCATTATCAACGATGGAAGGGGGTGGTTGTGGTATAGTGTGGTGAGGGATGAAAAAGCTTCATAAGTAGCATTCAGTCTGGGGCTTGAACAGTTGTTTGCAAACTATGGCCTTAGGATCAAATCTGGCCACTGGTTTTGTCTGGCACATGGGCTACAAATGATTTTTGTTTTGTTTTGCTTTTGGTTAGGCAATGGGGTTAAGTGACTTGACCAGGGTCACACAGCTAGTAAGTGTTATGTGTCTGAGGCGCATTTGAACTCAGGTCCTCCTGAATCCAGGGCTGGTGCTTTATCCACTGAGCCACCTAGCTGCCCCTACAAATGATTTTTTAAAAAATACGTGCAGTCATGCAAAGTGTATTTCCACGTTAAGTCATATTGAGAAAAAAAAACAGACAAAAAAAACCTCCAGTAAAAATAAAGAAAAAATATGCTACGATCTGCATTCAGACTTCATCAGTTCTTTCTCTGGAGATGGATAGCATTTTTCATTTTAAGTCCTTCGGAATTGTCTTGGATCATTGTATTGCTGAGAATAGCTAGGTCATTCACATTTGATCATCTTACAATATTGCTGTTACTATGGTTCTGCTTTGTTTCACTTTGCATCAATTTATGTAAGTCCAGGTTTCTCTGAGAGCATCCTGCTCATCATTTCTTAGAGCACAATAATATTCCATCACAATCATAGACAACAAGTTGTTTAGTAATTCCCCAAATGATAGACATCTCCTCAATTTCCAATTTTTTGCCACCACTTAAGGAGCTATTGTAAATATTTTTATACATGCAAGTCCTTTTCCATTTTGTTTTTTATCTCTTTGGAATATAGATCTAGTAGTAGTATTGCTTGATTAAATACATGATTTAATAGCCCTTTGAGTGTAGTTCCAAATTTTTCTACAGAATGGTCGAATCAGTATACAACTTCACCAACAATGCATTAGGGTCTCAATTTTCCCACAATCCCCTTCCAACATTTGTCATTTTCCTTTTCTGTCATATAAGCTATTTTGATAGGTATAAGGTGATAGCTCAGAGTTGTTTTAATTTTCATTTCTTTAATGAGTAGCGATTTAGAGCATTTTTTCATGTGATTATGGATAGCTTTGATTACTTTGTCTGAAAATGCCTGTTGATATCCCATTTATCAATTGAGGAATGGCTAAGAATGGTTTTTACATTTTAAAATCAAACATAAAATTTAAAATAAAAAACTTGATTTAAATTACATTTATTTAAAAACATAAAAACTATTCTTAGCTCCTGGGCTGTATAGACACAGTAGCCTGATTTGGCCCCAGGTTTTAGTTTGCTGATCCCTGGTCTTGAAGAAAAAGATGAGGAATCTGAGAAGTAGAGATTGGAAGAGGAACAGCTGCTAGTAGTCCAGGTTAGCTGGCAGGGGACTAAATTTGGAAGACCTGAATTTCGATCCTGCCTCAGATACTGTGTGACCCTGGGCAAATCACTTAACCTCTCTGGTTATCATTTTCTTCATTTATAAACCCTTTGTTGTTACTCTTCTCAAAGAAGACCAAAGACATCCTAAGGGTGTTGTGTTGACTTGTACATGAATTAGATTTAAGTGAGGTGGAGCTACATAGTCATCAGCCTCACTTTCTCTTCCAGAGTCATTGAAGTCCACTGGCAAGACAGAAGTCAGGAAGACTGGCGGTGGCTGAGGATGCAGTGGGTGCCTTGGCCCTTCTAAATTACGGTCTTTCCCAGGTTTCAGTTTGTCCAAGGCAAGGCCTATTCAATGATTAAGGGCTAGGTAAGAAAACATTTGCTGTTTACACTCATTCTGAGCTGTCAAAATCTAAACTGAGCTACATCTGCTTGGGGGCTATTATTAGCCATTCAGTGAAAGCCAGAGGGATTTGAGTTTAAAGGCATAGTCTAGTAGCTCCATTTGAAACACAATGGACTTTTTTTTTAGCCCTGTTTTCCAGTGCTATATTTCAAGAAATCATAAATGAAAACTGTACAGGACCAAAAGTTAATTGTCTAGGTTTCATATGTGTGTGTGTGTATGTGTGTGTGTGTGTGTATGAATGGGTTGTGGGCCACAAAGCTGCTACTTCATAGCTCTATATATTTCAGTGCCCTGGTATCGGTCTGGGACTATTCCTTCTCCAAGTGTACATCCTCTCCCTGGGTGCTGGAGTGCTGTCCTGGAGCATGTTCTTGGCCTGACCCCATTCCAGTGTCTGTTGACCTCCCTCTGTGTCTCCTTATGCCCAGCAGGCCTAGACTAATGACTCATTGTGACTTTTTCTGGCTTTCCCCATTAGGATTCTGTTTGGTGTATTTTTTAGATCTGTTTAGAAGAGTGCATGGAGGGGAGCCCACCACAATACTTTCTATCACTCCACCATCTTGACTCTGCCTCTTCTGGTGTCTTCTAGCCTGTGTTTGGACATGAACTCTTTCCTTATCCAAAGATCTGAAAGGTAATTTCCTTGCTCCTCTAATTTGTGATATCACCTTTTATGTGTAAGTCTTATATCAATTTGTAACTCATCTTAGCATATGGTGTGAGATGTTGGTCTATGCCTAGTTTCTGCCAGATTACTTTCCAGTTTTCCCAACAGTTTTTGACATAGAATGAGTCCTTAAACAAGTATATGTATTTTTAAAAATTTCTTGAATTCTAGACTACTGTGTTTATATGCTTATTTATGTTGTTTATCTAATATGTTCCACTGATTGACCCCTATGTTTTTTAAGTGTACCAAATCTTTTCGATGGTTACCATTTTGTATAGTTTGATATCTGGTACTCCTAGTTACTTCCCACTTTTTTTTTTATTATTTATCCTAAGATTCTTGACCTTTTTGTTTTTCCAGATGAGTTTCATTAATTTTTTATAGCTCTGTAAAATAATGTTTTGGTTGCTGGATGGCACTGAATAAATAAATTAATTTAGTTAGTGTTGCTGTTTGTATTTGCTCAGCTTATCCATGAGCAAGTAATATTTCTCCATTTGGTTCTGTCTTTACTTCTGTAAAGGGTATTTTGTAGTTGTGTTTCTTTTCTTCCTGTGTCTTGGCAGTTAGACTCCTACATATATTCAATAGTTATTTACTTGAATATCTTTTTTATTTTTTCATGATGATTTTGCTGATAACATATGGAAATGCTGATGGTTGTGGGTTCACTAATAATAATAATTATGTAGCTTTACTTTTTTAAAGCTTTTGGTCTTTGACTCTTACCTCCCTTGACATGCCCTCCTGATCCTCACGATATCCCTGTGATGTAAGTGGCATGGGTCTTTCCCCCTTTTGCAGATGAGAACAGTAAGGCTTAGGAAAGTTGTGACTTATCCAAACTAGTTTATAGCAGAATTGGGAGTGAAATCACTGTATGTTCTTTCTACTGTGTGATCATGTCTACTTAATACGCAAAGATAACCTCTGCCCCAGTTGTCAAGGGACATCATGCCAAAATTGTGCCAAATAATACTTTAAAAAGCCTATGAAAAACTATTGTAAGTGATTTCTTCCATTATAGACCTGCACAAAGAGTTAGCTAGAAGCCCCCAGGTAATGGGAAAGGGGCGCCCCTCAAGCAAAGCGAGCCCTAGCACATCAGAGATGGAGCATGTGTAGCCAGGAAAACTCTATGTAAGGAAGCAGCAAGAGTGGAAGGCTGCCTTGAGAAAGCCCCAGAGTGGACACCTTAGAAGTCCTGGAGAGCAGCAGCAGGCAGAAACCAGTGACCAGGAGGGTGCCACTACCTTGAGAACAGGGCAGCCCAGCACTAGGAGCTTTGTGTCCTGAGATGACAGAATAGTGAAAGTCCTGCCTCCTGAAACTTAAAGATCTACAGAGAGAGATATCGAACCCAGGAGGTATAGCTCAGTACAAGGACCCAGAGGACCCAGGATGACATCAAACAGATCTGACTGTCACACCCAAAAACACAGTAAGAGCTGGAGTCTGGACCTAGCATAAAGCCTCAATTCAGGAATTAAAGATAAATAAAACAAAGAAAACTGACTAGTATCAAAAATTATTGCAAATCTAACTCTAAAACAATTGTAAGGAGAGACTCAAGGGGGAAAAATGTATATTCCACAAGGGACTATATAAGTACATAAGTTAAAACATGAGGTAAAAAATGAAATAAAAGCCTTGGAAGAAAGAATTGAAAGGAGAATGAGTAACTTAGAAGGGAAAGTGGTCAATTTTGCCCTAAAAATGGACCCCCTGAAAACTAGAATAAAAGAAACAGAAAGCAATGACTCCATGAAACTTGAAGAAATATTGCAATAAAATCAAAAGATTGTAAAAATAGGAAATTATATTTAATATGAAAAACTGCCTTGGAAAGCAGGTAGCTACTTTAACAATCATTAGATTCTCTGAAAACCATGAGTTTTTTTTTTAAGCCTGGCTTCTATATTTCAAAAAAATGTAAATGAAAACTGCCTAGTTTTCTTATAACCAGAGGACAAAATAAAGGAAGATTCCCACCATATCTCCTCTGAAAGGAACTACAAAGGGAAAAGTCCTAGGAATGTCATAGCCAATATCCAGAGCTCTTAAATCAAAGAAAAATTACTGCAAGCATCCAGGGAAAATCATTTCAACTACCAAGTAATTACAGTCAGGATCACACAAGACCCGGTGCATTTTATTACAAATGAGAGATGATCTTAGAATACAGTGTTCCAAAATACAAAAGATACAGCTTTACAGCCAAAACCAACTTACCTTGCAAAGCTGAGCATAATCGTACAGAGGAAAAAATTTGCCTTTAATTCAATAGAGGACTTTTATGAATATCTGATGAAAAGATTAGAACTAAATAGGAACTTTGAAATACAAAAATGAATCGTGAGAAATCTAGAGAGGTAAATTTATTTGAGCAATTGGAAAGGGCTGTGTGATGATGTAGACCTGTACTAGTATTCTAGTAGGAGAAGAAACAAATGCCTTTTCACAACTTTAATGGTTTTGAAGAATATTTGGGGAAAATAATAAGAAAAACAGAGTTCTTGAGTATGAATTGCTTCTATTCTGAGGATTTTAAAGGGGGAATAAAAAGGGGGCGTAACAGGAATATACTAGTATGAGAAAAAATAAGAAGTTGTGTAGCTTGCTGTTTCTTGTAATTGAATGTGTGAAGAAGATAATACAAACATGGAGAAAAGAGCAGGGAGGATGGGCATCAAATTAACCTCACCCTTATTGGAAATGGACAAATTAAGGTTGAACACAGACATTTTGGTATCAAAATACATCAAATTCAACAAGAAAACGAGGATAGGGACAGTTAGGGACAGTTTGGGATTAAGAAAGAAGATAATACAAACAAAACAAACTTCCAGATGTGAAAAGGACATTAAAGGGGGGGGGGAGAGAAGAAAAGCAAAGAACTAGAATCTAATTAGATAACTGAGATCAAAGGTGTCAGACACATGTTCCACAACACTCATGTAGCCTGAACCAGATTAAAATGTAATTGGGAAATATTTTAACAAAATAAAGAAAAGTACAAGAAAACAATTACTGTTAATATGTGGTTTTCTAAGCCAGTATGTGGCCCACAGGAATCCTTATGTACAGTTTAGTGACTCTTGTCTTTATTTGAGCTTGACACCACTCCTTCAGATTGCCTCTTAGACAATTTGGGAATGACTGAATGAATTATGGTCTGTGAATGTAAATGGAATATTTTTGAGCCATAAGAAATTATGAGATGTTTTCAGAGATGCCCAGGTAGTATAAACTTACAGCATCAGAGAACAGTTTATACAAGGACAGCAACATTGTTCAAAACAAAACAGAACCTGACAGACTTAATAACTCTGATCAAAAACAATGGCTAGCCATGTCTCTAGAGGACCAATGATGATGTATTGTGTTACCCACATGCTGACAGGTGATGGACACAAGGGGTAAACATACGTTTTTGGACATTGTCACTATGCAGAAAGAAATTCAGAAAAAAGCACAGAGAAGGACAATTTTGAAAGTAATATGTGGAATTTATCATTGTTGTTCAGTTGTGGCCTACTCTTCATGACCCCATTTGGAGTTTTCTTGGCAAGGATATTGGAGTCATTTGCCATTTCCTTCTCCAGCTCATTTTACAGAGGAGGAACTGAGGTAAACGGGAGTAAGTGACTTGCCCAAAGTCACACAGCTAGTATGTGTCTAGGCCTGGATTTGAATTCATGTAGATGTGTCTTCTTGACTCCAGGACAGGCACTCTATCCCACTGTGCCACCTAGCTGCCATTGACTTTTTTATATATACTTTTAAAAAGAGCAAGTTGTATGAAATAGAGATTCATATTTCCACCTAGTGTCATCTTTTAGTGTGCTGCTGTGTGTATGGAAATGTCCTTTTTTGGGGGTGTCTAAGTTCAGAATTTTTTTTTTTTGATTAAGAAACAAAGGCTATCAGGATTGAAGAAAGTAAGTATTTTGCATTAGTGGAGTCAGTTGTATGTAAAGATTTATTTTGCTTCTCCTTGCAGTTCCATTAGGAGATGAGAGGAACAGAAAGATATGCCCTCAACTGCCCCATCTCTTAGAAATTCCTTCTGATGCAATATGGGGATCAAATAACTAACTTGCAGGCATTGCCTTCCATATGCAGAAAGAAGCAGCTTAATGAGAATAACTTAGCTTTACATAAAGGCTGGCTCTGACTTGCCTTCTGTTTCACATTTATTATAGAAAAAGCTTCTGGATTCCTTCCCAAAGGTGGAGTATCATAACAACTTAGGCCAAGTAAAAGAATGCACCTGAATCTAAGCATAGTTAACTATGCAGGGGATAATTTTTTTTTAAAATTTCCAAGTGATGATTCATTTTTTCTTTCAAGACCAGAGATCCTGTGGCAAGAAGGAACCTGTTTTTTTAGTTCATCCTTTGACATCCATATAGGAGCATACCAAATCATTTTAGCAAGGTGTTACTTGGTCCCCAAGTTGTAGTTGGTGATGAAATTTTGAGCTGGGGTAACAGGAAGAAATAATTAGAGTCATAGCTAGAAAGGACTTCAGAGATTATTTAATCCAATCCCTTCATTTTACAGATGGTGAAACTGTTCAGAAGTAAAGTGACTTGGCTCTAGTTAATTCCCTTCAATGTCCCACTCTAAAGCTATACACATCTTCTACTATGCTCTCAGCAATGTCTGCTTCATAGGTAACAAATTTGATTTAGTCTAAAATATTTTCCTTTCCTGCTACTTCCATCTTATGGACTAAAACTGGGTTCCCTCCTGGTGATAACTAACCACCCTGACCACGCTTTCTGTCCAGCACTTGTACTTTCTTTTTTTCTTTTTTTTTTTTTGCAATGGATTTAAGTGACTTGCCCAGGGTCACACAGCTAGTAAATGTTATGTGTCTGAGGCTGCATTTGAACTCAGGTCCTCCTGAATCCAGGGCCAGTGCTCTATCCACTGCGCCACCTAGCTGACCCCCAGCACTTGTACTTTCACACCTTCCCCCTTACTCACTGGCTGAGGTGGGGTAGTTGCGATACTCCTTACTTGGCATTATTACTTTCACCAGTAATGAAATCCTTCTACCACCACCTTTCAGTAGCTTCTCCTCCTTTGAAGTTCACTCAATCCATATCCACCCCCAATCACAATTCTGGTAGCTGTTGTCTGCTGACCTGTAGATCACTTCTTTCTTCAATGAGTCCAGTGCCTGGCTCACAATCTATTTCTCCTCCCCAACACCTACCTTCATACTAGGGAACTCAACATACATCCCTCAAACATCCTAATCTCTCTGTTCCTCAACTGATTCATTTCTCATGACCTACTCTTTCACCCCACTTCAGCTAAACTCAATACCCTTATTCTTGTTATTACTCATAAATGCACTATTTCCATGTACATGAACTATTGAAATTCCCTTAATCTGATCACAGTCAGTTGTCATTCCATCTCTCCCTTTGCTTTATCCCAGACTCCATTCTTTGTTCTCACCATGACCTCCAATCCCTGAATCTTTCAGTTCTTTCCCAGGTCATCACCCCTACACTGTCTAAACTCTTCTTCCTTCCCCATCCCCTTGGTGAACCAGTTCAGTTCTACCATCCTCTTCTGTCAAATTACTTGCCCTCTTAACTTCTCACTGACCTTGCTCCATCAAGCCTCAGCCTTGGATTACTTCTACTCTCTTCCTTCACTGCTCTTCACGTAATCTTGAACTAAGTTGGACAAAATTAAAAAAACAAAACCAACTGTGGTGACCAACAATACAAATTTGTGTAATGTAATGCTCAGTTGGGCCCTCACTGCAACAAGACAATATTTTTTATACTTCCCTAGTTGACTCACTATGCCATTCACCATCTTTTATTTTTCCAAACCTTTTCATCCCTTTTCAAATCTCAAATGGCTTGTTTCCTACCACCTACTCTGCTGAGAACTTCATCTCATTTCACTGAAAACACTGAGACCACTCTCTGAGAGCTCCCTCTTATTCTCATCTAGGTCTGTGAGTCCCACCCAAATGCTTAGTATAAAGAGAGGCTCTCCAGAATACCTGTAGTGCTTCATCCAGACCAGCTCAGCTGATCCTCTCAAGAGAAACCATCCATGTCCTCCACAGATGCTCCTTTCTCCTTCATCTCCTGTGTGCAGGTAAGCCTTTGTTCACCATGTCTGCTTTTGCTTTTGCTCTTCTCATACTACTCCTCTAAGCTGTACTCAATAAAGGATTATAACCACTAAAAGAGATGTGCCAGTGTGATGACTCTCACACTGTGGAGCAAGTCTTAAGAGGAAGACAAGATCTGGATCTTCATCCAGATTATACCTGTTAGGATATTATCCATGGGTTTCCTTAAGGCTCTGTTCTGGACCCTCTTTTCTCCCTCTATACAATTTCATTTGGTGATTTTATTTAGCCATAGGTTCAATTATAATATCTGTGCTGCTTGTTAAATTGCCTTATCCAAGCCTGACCTTTAGGCTTACGTCTTTGCCTTTTAGATATCTTGAAGTGGTTATCCCATAGACAGTTTAAACTCATGCTCAAAACTGAACTTACTCCCTTAATTCCTCTTATAATCTCCCCCCATCTGAATTTCTCTTTTGCTGTGGGTTTTTGGTTTTGTTTGATTGATATATTTTTATTTTTTACATTCTTTTCTGAGTTCTAACTTCTCTCCCTCCCTCCAGACCTTCTCCCTACCCATTCAGAAGGTAAGCAATATGATATCAGTTGCGTGTCACATCATGTAAAACATATTTCCGGAATTAACTATGCTGCCAAAACAAAAAACAATAAACAGAAAAATAAGCAAGAAAAATAAAGAAAGAGGAAAAAAGTATTCTTCAATCTGAGCTCAGTGGTCATCAGTTCTCTCTCTGGAGCTGCATAGCATTTTTCATTATGGGTCCTTTGGAATTGTCTTGGATCACTGTCTTGATCAGAGTAGCAAAGTCTTTCACAGCTGATCTTTAAAATGTTGCTATTACCATGTACAATGTTCTCCTGGTTCTTTGCATGGATTCTTATAAGTTTTCCTAGGTTTTTCTGAAACCATCTTGCTTGTCATTTCTTATAGCACAATAATATTCCATCACAGTCTTATACTGCAACTTGTTCAGCTATTCCACAAATTGTTGGGGCACCCCTTCAATGTCCAGTTCTTTGCCACCACAAAAAGAAATGCTACAAATAAGTCCTTTTCCCTTTTCATTGATCTCTTTGGGATGCAGACCTGGTAGTGGTATTGCTGGGTCAAAGGGTATGCACAGTTTGATTGCCCTTTGGGTATAGCTCCAAATTGTTTTCCAGAATGGTTGGGCACAGTTCCACCAACAGTGCGTTAGCATCTCTCTTTTTCCATACCCTTTCCAGCATTTGTCATTTTCCTTTTCTGTTAGCTAATCTCATACATATGTATGAGAATTTTTTAAATTTACATTTGTCTGATCAGTAATAGTTTAGAGCATTTTTCTCATGTGACTTTGATTTCTTCCTGAAAACTGCCTGTTCATATCCTTTGACCATTTATCCACTGGGGAATTGCTCTTATTTTAATAAATTTGGCTCAATTCCCTCAATGTTTGAGGAATTAGGCCTTTATCAGAGAAACTTGATGTAAAAAATTTTCCCCAGTTTCCTGCTTTTCTTGTAATTTTGGCTGCGTTGGTTTTGTTTGTGTAAAACCTTTATAATTTCATGTAATCAAAATTATCCACTTTTCTTCCCAAGACCCTATCTTTTATTTGGTCATAAACTCTTCCCTTATCCATAGATCTGATAGGTACATTTTTCCATAATCCCATAATTTACTTATGATATCACCCTTTATGTATAAATCATTTACCCATTTTGACCTTAATTTGGTATATGGTGTGAGTTTTGCCAAACTGCTTTCTAGTTTTCCCAGCAGTTTTTGCCAAATGGTAAGTTCTTATCCCAAAAGCTTGAATCTTTGGTTTTATCCTACACTTGTTTATTATGGTCATTTACTACTGTGCTTTATGTATCCAATCTATTCCACTGATCCACCACTCTGTTTCCTAGCCAATACCAGATTGTTTTTTATGATTCCTGCTTTGTAATGTAGTTTGAAATGTAGTACTGCTAGGTGGCCTTCCTTCGCATTTTTTTTGTTAATTCCCTTGATATTCTTTACCTTTTGTTCTTTTAGATGAATTTTAAATTATTTTTCCCAGCTCTTTAAAATATATCTTTGCTAGTTTGATTGGTACGGTGGTACAGAATAAATAAATTAATTTAGGTAGAATTGTCATTTTTATTACATTGGCTCATCTTACCGTGAGTAATTAATATTTCTCCAGTTGTTTAGATATTATTTTATTTGTGTGAAAAGTGTTTTGTAAATATGTTCACGTAGTCCCTGGGTTTGTCTTGGCAGGTAGACTCCCAAGTGTATTATATTATCTGCAGTTGTTTAAAATTTAATTTCTCTTTCTATCTTTTTCTGTTGGGTTTTTGGGGGTTTTTTGGGCAATATATAGGAATGTTGATGACTTATGTGGGTTTATTTTATATCCTGCAACTTTGCTAAAGATGTTAATTATTTTAATTAGTTTTTTAGTTGAGTCTTTAAAGTTCTCTGAATATACCATCATATTGTGTGCAAAGAGTAATTGTTTTGTTTCCTCCTTGCCAACGTTTTATTCCTTTGATTTCTTTTTCTTGTCTTGCTGCTAAAGCTAGCGTTCCTAATAACAATATTGAATCATGGTGGTAATGGACATTCTTGCTTCACCCCTAATCTTACTGGGAAGGCTTCTCATTTATCTCCATTACAGATAATGCTTGCTCTTGACTTCAGATAGTACTTATTTTTTAAAAAGGCTCCATATATCCTTGTGCTTTCTAGTGTTTTTTATTTTTAAATAGGAATGGGTGTTGTATCATGTCATAAACTTTTTCTGAATCTATTGAGATAATCATATGATTGTTGTTGTTTTTGTTATTGATACGTTGATTATAGTTACAGTTTTCCTAATATGGAACAAGCTCTGCATTCCTGGCATAAACCTCACCTGGTCATAGTGTTGTGACATATTGCTAATTTTTGCATTGATATTCATTAGAGAAATTTGCCTATGGTTTTCTTTCTCTGATTTTGCTGTCCCTGATTTAAGTATCAAAACCATGTTTGTGTCATAAAAGGAATTTGGTGTAGAACTCCTTCTTTACCTATTTTATCAAACAGTTTATAGAGTATTGAGATTATTTGCTCTTTAAATGTTTGGCAGATTTCACTTGTAAATTTACTGATCCTGGGGATTTTTCCTTAAGGGCTTATTGATGGCTTATTCAAGTTCATTTTCTAAGATACCATTATTTAAGTATTCTGTTTCCTCTTCTGTAATGTGGGCAGTTTATATTTTTGTAAATGTTTATCCATTTCCCTCAGATTGTCAATTTTACAGGCATATAATTAGGCAAAATAACTCCTAATAATTGCTTTAATTTCATCTTTATTGGTGGTGTATTCACCATTTTTATTGTTCATACTGGTAATTTGTTTTTCTGCTTTCTTTTTTTTTATTCAAATAAAACAATGCTTTATTTAATTGTCTCCCCCCCACATCATAAAATCAGCTCATAGTTTTATTTATTAATTTAATGGTTTTCTTACTTTTGATTTTATTAACCTCACCTTTGATTTTCAGGATTTCCATTTTGGTGTTTAATTGGGGATTTTCAGTTTTTTTTTCTCTAGTTTTTAAAAATTGAATGCCTCATTCATCGATCTGCTCTATCTCAATTTTATTGATGTAAGCATTTAGAGATAGAATTTTTCTCTTAAGTTCTGCTTTGTCTGCATCTCACAAATTTTGCTATATTGTCTCATTGATGTCATTCTCTTTAATGAAATTATTAATAGTTGCTATGATTTGTTCTTTGACCTACTCATTGTTTAGGATTAAATTATTTAGTTTCCAATTAATGTTTAATCTATGCTTCCATAGCCCTTTATTGAACGTAATTTTTATTGTGGTGTGTTCTGAAAAGAGTGCATTTAATATTTCTGCATTTTTGCATTTGTTTGTGAGTTTTTAATGCCCTAATAATGTGGTTAGCTTTTGTAAAGGTGCCATGTACAGTTCAGAAAAACTGCTTTTTATTTTCTGTTCATTTTTCTTCAGAGAGCTATCATATCAAACTTTTCTAAAATTCTACTCCTCTCCTTAACTTCTTTCTTATTTATTTTATCGTTAGATTTAAGTAACTCTGGGAGGGTAAATTGATGTTTCCCACTAGTATGATTTTACTGTTTCCTCTTTAATTTGTTTAACTTTTCCTTTAAGAATCTGGATGCTGTGCCATTTTGTAGAAATATGTTTAGTATTGATACTCCTTCAATGTTTATGATATCTTTTATTTCTTAATTTTTTTCTTTCCTCTTTTTTTCTTCGATTATGTGTAAAAAATTTTTACATTTTAAAAAAAGTTTTAAGTTCCAGATTCTCTCACTCCCACCTTCTCTTCCTCCCTCTTTGAGAAGACAGGCAATTTGATATAGATTATACATGTGCAGTCATATAAAATATATTTCCATATTAGCCATGTTGCAAAAGAAAACATAGACAAAAAACCCAAGAAAGATAAGGTTAAAAAAAGTGTGCTTCAGTCTGTGTTGTGTCAATTCTTTCTCTGGAGGTAGATAGCATTTTTCATCACAAGTCCTTCAGGAATTGGCTTGGATCATTCACGGTTGATCATTGTATGATATTGTTATAACTGTGTACGATATTCTACTGGTTTTGTTCACTTCACTTTACATCAATTTATGTAAGTCTTTCCAGGTTTATCTGAAACCATCGTATTCCTCATTTTTTATAGCACAATAGTATTCCATTACAATCATATGCTACAACTGATTCAACCATTCCCCAATTGATGGGTATTCCCTCAGTTTTCAGTTCTTTGCCATTACCAAAAGAATTGCTATAAATATTTCGGGATATATAGGTCCTTTTCCTTTTTTCTTTTTCTTTGATCTCTTTGGGATATGCTGAGTCAAAGGGTATGCACAGTTTTATATCCCTTTAGGCATAGTTCCAATTTGCTCTCCAGAATGGTTAGATCAGTTCACAACTTTATCAACAGTGCATCAGTGTCTATAGTGCCTCTTAGCAAGATA